CTTAACAAAGCTTTTTCTGCGGTGACAACAGGACAGGAGAAGAGTTGTAAATGCAGATAATTCACAAGTTGACTCTCACCCCACAGGATGCCTACAGTGAGAAGATTTGGGGGTCGATAGGAGTCATAAAGAAGGGTGTTGACTTGCTGCAGCTTTGAAGTTAGCTGAGAGCCACATGGACAAACAATAAGGTCAACTGATGCATTTAAATACCTATGTCTGTATACAGTTGGATTGTAGTGACATATGATTTTTGAGAATGATGATTCTTCTTGGTTGACCTTTGACATTCAGTTGTTTACTTGAAGAAATACATAATGAATTGCACGACAGGAGTAGATCCGCCACAAGGCTGGATACCTTGGTTACCGTCTGGTCCTTGGTGGCATCTTCTTTTGAAAATATTAATTCCTGTTTTTGAACTGTTGAGACTGATTTGCTTATGTACAGGATGTAGTTTGCTGTGCATGAATGAAATCTACACTGACACTGTCTGAACAAAGGGTGCATAGGTTGAAATTTAAGAACAATGACAAAAAGGAGGGAAATGTTAAGTCTAATTGTTGAATGTTGCCATTGTGTTTCTTAAATTTGTACAGTCTTAGTTTAAGCAGTAGGATCAAAGCCATCCCTTTGATCCTGACCACCTCTCCAACCACTCTGTGCTGGAGGAGGTTTTATTGTAGATACATCCTATCTGAAAGATCTGTTTCTTTTGATGTAAGCTTCCTGGGTTTATGACCCTTTGGTCAGCAGGAGGTCTCACACACACATTCTCACATTCTCACATAACACACACACACACACACACACACACACACACACACACACACACACACACACACACACACTCAGTGTATACATTTACATACAGTGCCTTGTCTTTGTAACCAAAGGGGGGTTGCAAGGGGAGGTGCTTTGTAAACTATTGTTTGAAGTTTGTCAATAAAAGGCAGCGAGAGGAGGCCACCATTTTTTTTTTTGGGGTTCTTTGTCGTGCTGGACGCAGACGAGGCCTCCCTTGTGCAAGTAATGGATCGATCGACTGTCTTGTTTTCTTCATGATGAATAAGTCTCTAGAATTAGCGGGGTTTGTGGAAACACAGACCCAACACGCTGATGTTTTGGATTCAACAGCATTTGAAAGGTCGACACAGACACATTTGCACACAGAAAGCTGAATCTGTCATATGCCACAGTGAACTCACTGTTCAGTGTTTTTCAGGAAGCTTCTTAACTGCCTCTGCTGCCAAACAAGCAGCTGATGTCCTTGAGAAGAAGCTGAAGAAGTCTCCAACAACAAATACAGGAAGTGGACTTTCAAATACTAGATTCACTTTAGACTCACAGAGAAATGACTCAACCAGCTGTGTTTGACTCTATGAAAGCTCAGTGTGTGTCTGCACACAGACTGTTGTGTTGGACTGTTATTCAGTTGTCTGCTGAATGTTTTCAAATGTCTGCATCTCAGCTGTGATGAGGCTGGGGGTCATGGGAGGCCACCGTAGCAGCCTCTTCAACATCATGACATCATCATAAATGCTGCTGGACGTCTGATGGGCTGACGGTGAAAAAGCCGTCGGGAAGGAAACAGAAGACGTTTCAGAGGCTGCAGCAGATTTCTTTGATTCGGGGCCTTTTTCAGCTTTATTGGACAGAGCAGTGAAGATAAGTGACAGCAAACAGAGAGAAAGGGGGCGTGGCCCGGGTCAAAGCCAGGCCAGCTGCTCTCCACCTCGTGGTCACCTGCTCATCCTAGTGAGCTCCACCAGCAGCCCTTTCACACACTTTACACTGTCAAACACTGTGTGTGGACCTCAGCTAACAACAGGCTACATTTAAGTCTGGACTACATGCTTTTATATTGTTTTTATTCCATCAGCAGCTCAACATCATGAGCAGCTTTGACATAAAGACATCAAACTCAAACTGACTTTAAGCTACTTTTAATACAGGGGCTCAAAAACAACAACATCTTTATTATATATCAGGACAGAAAGTCATTTCATCTCAAAGGGAAACAGCTTTATTTGGAATAACCAGCACTATCAACTGGTTTGGGATCTCCACCAGTTTCATGTCTTTGCAGCTTCTCCAACAAAGTTCCTGTAAAATCAGCATGTTTGTCTTTATTGGTTTGATAGTGATTGATTATTCAGTCCCAATCTGCTGTCATCTAAAGAACAAAATGATGTTTCTATGAGTCACAAAGCTCCAGATGTTGTCGGCTTCACAAAGAAAACAAAGAACTTAAACACAAAGTGTTTGGAGCCAAAATGTTCCCAAGCTGCTCTTTTTGAAATGGCAGAGGTACAGTGGTGTCTAACAGCACACTGTGGAAGGCAAACATGTTATTGTTGGATGAAACTTCATGAATCCTTTGTAGATTTGAGCTGTTGGAGCCTTTCTTTTCTCTTCAGGTGTACAGATGCTGAGGAGGCAGGTGAAGCAGGTGGAGCTGTTGTGATGCTGGTGTGATACCCACTAATGTGTGATCACATTTGTGTGAATTAATTTAAGTAATTTCACTTTCAATGTAAGTGATATTTCCATTTGTGAATGCCCTTGATAACTACAGTAATTTTAACAGGAAACTGAGTCGCTGCCATCAGGAACTAGATTTTATATCACAGCCTGGAAATCTGTCATCTCAACAAGAACAAGAATTAAGTTGCTGAATTTCATGCAGATGCTCCATGATTTAATTATGTTCACCATAGAAACATGAAATTATTTAGTTCAAATTACAAGTTTGAATCTTGTACATGTAACAGCCACCCAATATTATAATTATGCAAGTTCTCAATGGTCATGAGAATTTGCATAATTAAGATTAAGGAACTGACCTCCCATCCATTCTTCCTTCAGTGGGCTGGTTTCAGTCATCATGCAAATGTGCTGTTTATAAGATTTGGGGAAAGCTGCAGTCAGCTGAGACTGAAGAAGTCACCTGGATGATGATGAAACTCTTCAAATAAACCATTCCTCTGCAGATGATCTATTAGCTGTTTGACAACTACTCTTTCAAGGATGTTTGATATAAAGGAAGGTTGGAGATTGGCCTATAATTAGCTAAGACTGCTGGGTCTAGAGATGCTTTTTGAGTAAAGGTTTAACTACAGCCAGCTTGAAGGCCTGTGGTACATAGCTGATTATTAGAGATAATAATCGGGCTATCATCCACAGAGCAATGGCCAGTCAGAGCGGGCAAACCAGGAGCTGAAGGCTGCCCTGCGCTGTGTTGCTTCCTCCAATCAAAAAGTGATGAACTGCCGTGGATAGAACATGCTCACAACAGCCTGACAGCCTCCGCCACGTGCCGATCCCCCTTTGGGGTCTCCCTGGGATTTCAGCCTTCCTTGTTTCCCACAGTTGAGGGTGAGCATTGCATGCCCTCAGTCCAAGCTCACCTGCACAGGTGTCGGTGGGTGTGGCAGGCTACCCAGGCTGCCCTGCTGCGCACCAAGGACCACAACAAGCGCATTGCAGGTCGCAAACCGATTCCAGCATCCGAATATGCTTTGGGATAGAAGGTATGGCTCTCCACACGTTTCGTTCCCCACAGAGCAGAGTCCAAGAAACTCACTTCTACCTACATCGGTGCGTTTGAGATTGTTTCGAATTGCTGTTTCTGTGGCTGTGATCAGCTCCACTGGTGGGATTTGTCTCGGTGTGACAGCAAAATTAAATCCTTTAGCAAGGATGTTTTTCTCTGTTTGGGTGAGCTGTCCGTCAGACAGATTCTTCACCCACTTGTCCACATCCTCAGTGTCGCATCCTTCGCTCTTATTAGAGTTCTGCTTTCTGGTTCCTGTATGTGTTCCTAAGTTAATGTCTCCACTGACAAAGACACATTTAACTAATAGTAGCAGTTTTATTTAAGACCTTCCACAACACTTTTATTAATTACTATATTACTTCCTAGGAAGTACATTTTTTGACAGGTGAGCTGCTGATTCCTTACTGTTGGGGTGAAGGGAGCGCCATGCATCGTAAAGACCAACGTTTCTCATGTACTGGCCATATATACTGACAATACATAGCTTTGTGTTAAGTGTAGATAATTTAAAACTAGGAATCTACCCTTTGGATCAATAACTGTGTTGAGGACTGTGTAGCTATATGAGTATAACTAATGATGCATGCTGCATGTGATGCTCAAACAAGTGAGGAAAAACACCATCAGGTGTAATTTATTTCTTTTTACGCAGCAGGCTCTGCTTGCTGGTTGCACATGATATAATCGAGTGTTAAGTAAATATAACATTTTCTGTCCCTTACTTGTGAATCTCTACATGAAGTGGCAAATAGCTAAACGTGCTGTAGGGACTGACAGCATTGAATGATGACGAAACTGAAAGTAGAGTAGAAGGCCTTTTTCCTTCCTAGCTACAAAAAATACAAAGAAGAAATATTCTCAATGCAAATAAAGAATTACATGTTTACTACACATGCCAAACAGATGTAGACATTCATATTTACACATCTGCAAATGTTAGTCAATTTAATAACATTATTTACTATCCATGAAGATGAAACACAATACAAAGTTACAAACAAAGCTTCGCCGTTGGCATAACACAGGTGAATGCTGAAAGATTAAACAGAGAGACTTGTACATTATAAGGTTGCACTTATACCAGTTTTATCTGTACAGGAATAAAACTGGTATATCAACAACAACAGAACACCTGGAATCATAAACCTCCTCTGCCCACTTGCCAGAAAAAAGATCAAAGTTTCTTTATTTAAACAAAAGCTTTAATAAAATACATAATAAAACATAATTTTCTCTTAGACTTGATTTCCATATTCAGAATATTTCAGTTATACATATCACTCATTATCTTGGTGAGGCATTAAAAGAAGAGAGTATATGAAGCTTTTCATTCATCACTAAACCTGCTCTGTTATACACACAGTACAAAAACAGACCATTTACCAAACAATAAAAAGTATACCTGCAATCATCGTTTACCATTGCTGAGACTTGTCTTCTTTTAGTAGGGAAGCAGGTAGAAGTTCTTTGTCAGAGTACATCTGTCTTTGCTTGGCATCTGAATTTCACCAAACTCAGATTCCTCGAAGCGCTGCATGACCTGTAGCATTGAAAGAAAGGCAGCTTCATCACTGACTGTTGTCTTTTCTAGATCCAAACTTTTAGCCTATCCAATTTATGAAGTTCAAATGAAGAAATAAAAGAATTCACTTGTTGAGCTCACTTTTCTGAACAGTTCCTCAATGTGATCCACATCAGCAAACTCTTTGAATATCTCAACAATATATTGGATAAAATAAGAGCCGTATGACTCGTCTCTGTATGAAGTCGTATCTGCAAGCCAAAAGAAACGGACAATTTGTGCTGCTGGTATTTGGTCAGTATCAATGACTCGTTACTGAAGGCTGGAGTTACTTGTTACTGGAACACTCACTAGGGGTGCAGGACAGAAGAGAGATGAAGTCCTTTTCTTTGTGTACCACAGCATCTGTCTCGATGTTTCTTCCAATAGTGGTTAAAACTTCATCATGTAAAACCACCGAACCCGCCTGACCTACAACAACCATGCAGGGTTACCCAGAAATACGTAATAATATTTAGCTTGATCATCTTACAGGTCATTTAAGCTCACGCCACTTCTATATGAAACTGTAAATGCAGCTTGAAACTTCTAGGATGACTGAATCACCTCCTCTACAAGCCTGGATGATGATCACCTTGGGCTTGTTATGTAGTGCAGGACAATTCTGTGTGTTTAGGCTCTTGTAAATGTTTTCAATTTCGAAAGGTTTGCAGTCAGTGCCACAGACACCTTGCAGAGATCCGTGAGACATGATAACTACAAACACACTATCCGTGTGGACAAGATGTGGATGTTTTGAGAACTTTTGTAGAGCTTCTTCAATCTCCTGTAAAATCAAAAACTTTGTATAAATAAATGTATCATTTTCTCAGTTTGGGGAAATGTCAAAGTAGAAGTGAATTATTTTTAAAACTACCTTTACAGTCAAGTTCCTATATTTCACCACATCGTAACCCAGATCTGCAAGCATGCAGTGCATTTCATATTCATCTTTCTCAGCTCCATGTCTGGTTGAATACCCATCGAAAGTTTTGTTAGTGATCAGCAGGGCTACACGCTTTGAAATGGACTCTTCAGTCACTGGATATTTCTAAAAGACAAGATGATTTACAGGAATTGATTAGGTTCTAACATTACTTTTAAAAACAACAAATCATTTTAATGTGTATCAGAGATCAAACGTTTAAATATACAGTATAATGCTGATTACTCAGGCCAGTCGAAGACACATACATTATTACCACGTCTCCCACCATCTGTGCTGTAATGCTGTGTGCTGGTCGAGCATTCCTGCTCCTTTTGGGACAATAGAGCTACAATTAAAAAACACCATCAGCTGATTTCTCAGTAGACATTTTGCTGCAGTACATCAACTGTGTGTGTGTGTGTGTGTGTGCGTGTGTGTGTGTGTGTGTGTGCGTGTGTGTGTGTGTGTGTGTGTGTCTGAGAGAAAACATGCATTACAATAACAGCTCAAGAAAAACGAATTTTACAGAAATCCTCAGTTTTCTGCACAGATGGAAAAGTGGACACATGCAGCGAAGAGTACATTTGCATCTAGTTGTTGTTGTTGTTGTTGTTGTTGTTGTTGTTGTTGTTGTTGTTGTTGTTGTTGTGGCATCTAGTTTCTGAAGATGTGTAAACATTATCCTGCAGGCTTTGTCCCGTTTTTGGGTTTGTTTTTCTTGCTGTGTCAGTGAAACAGCGTACCCTATCTGCTCTGGATTGATTATCTTCTACTATGGATTATTTCTCTAAACCATTCAAAATACCATCAGTGACAAGTGCTTCAAGGATTAAGATTTTTTTGTGACACAGTTGACACAAACTCTGCCCTTAACCTGGCAAACTCCTCCTCGATAGGAAGCATAAAAGAAACATGATGATACATATAATTCACATTTTGGTCTTTTAAGTGCCAAAGAATGAAGAAGACGTGGAATAGTCAAAGGAGAAATATATAATCTAAGAAAGAGTCTCATCAAAGATTTTGACATCACTTACCTGCCATTGTTCGCTTGCTCTATCATATGAGTCCGGTCTAATAGCATTTATGTTGGAATGTAAATGCCTCACCCGCCCTCATGTGACTGATTTGAATCATGTTCATTGGTTGGTTATTTTCTCTCTGCGTGTAAAAAAACAGGTCTGTTGTCACTTTATGAAAAACTAGTCACCACATCTAAGAAGCTAACAAAACTCAATCAGAAATCACTGAATATCATATGTGTGTGATGTGCAGTTTATGGTCCTGAGAAAAGTGGATTACATAAAGAACAGATGCATTTAAATATGTTTATTGTTGTGTATTTAGATTGTTTGCTTTGGTAACTGCAATTATAATCACAATGACACAAAAGTGCAAAAAAATAAATGTCGGTTATATTCATATAGTGACATTTCACAACAACTGGTAATGCAAAAAACAAATTATTGCAAGCAACAGACCACGAACTATGAGAAAAAAGCAAAGACCAGTCAGACAATTGCCGATGAAGAATCACTTGGTGACCCCACCCGATTTTTAACAGGAAGAAACCATCAGCAGAAACTCCTTCTAGCTATTTTGTAGCTGTTTATTTAAAGCAGAAAACCAAAAACAGTCAGAAGACAATGAACTGCTGGTTCAGATTAGCACATCAAATTCATGCAAAACAAGTGTACAGGTCATGATGATGGATGTCAGAGGTGATTGATGGTGTTGACGGTTTCGCTTTTCTGCCAAGTAAATCATTTTCCGTGGATGTTTTCAGACCGGAAAAACTAGAAATCTCACACAGCACAGTTTCTGTTGGCAGCACGTCTGGGTTTTGTGAAGCAAACGTTTCGTACAGTCCTTTTCAGAGACTCAAAAGACATTTGACAAACTACAAGAATTTTAAAATAAGGATTGCTTCTGATAATCACAGCAACATTTTCTTTTGCAGTCACTGACTCTCTGAAGTCTAGAAACCTGTGCCATCGCTTCATGTTGTGTTGCACTAAGTGAAGTAAGTGAACTAATAGATTTAGATCAGGTGAAAAATATCCAGTTTTGTTGCCTGTAGACACTCTTGGGTTGCTTTTGAATTTTTCTTTTGGTCATGATTCATGTAATGCTCTATCCAGTTAGACTGCGGCACAGAACTTTAGAATATTAGGGGGGGGGGCCGAAACAATGAAATTCTGGTTAACATTAGATTAGCTCATCCGGCCACATCCCGATCCTTATATAATGATTTTCTACAGTCCAAAGTGCTTTAGAGAACTACACATTACACACCATCATACTCTGACGGATGCATCAGAGCTAACTTTTTTGCTATCTGTCTGACAGATATAATTTTGCCTTAATAACATGGACGGACATCATTTCAGCCCTCAGAAATCAAACGGGCCTCCTGTATATATGCTTTATCTTGTATGTATGTACGCATATGCTCGAAATAAATGATCAAAGAAAAAGTCTCTGCCTGCTGCAGCTCAGAGCACAGATGGGTTCGTGCAGTTCATTTCAAAATGAGGAAAGTTTCTACAAGACAAATTCTTCCAATTAAAAGAGCACCTGCTGAAATTGTATTACAAAGTGTTCCAGGGGAAGTGAAAAAAGCAAGAGACAAGACAAGGACATAAGAAGCTAAGCAGGGAAGATAAGGGAAGGGAGGAGAGGAGAAAAGTGCGACCGCCTTCGCTGAGAGCGAAACGAGAAAAAAAAAGAAAGGTATAGAGTTATATTTTTGTTAATAGGTTCAGACTGGTCAAATGTAGATTGGTTAAATATGTAAACAGCACAATATATATATTACTCTTCTTATATGTCAGTTAAGTACTTGGAATGTTAACGGGTCCAACAATGTGGTGAAAAAAAGTCCTAAATTCTCTGAAGAAAGATTTGATTCACGCTGATTTTTTGCAAGAAACCCATCTGACAGATGAGGAACATAAAAAATACTGTAGAGAATGGGTTGGCCAAATCTTCATTCATCCTACTCTACAGATAAAAGGGGGTTATTACTGTTATACACAAAAATCTCAGAGTCACTGTCCTTCCTTCAAGGACAATGAAGGAAGATATATATTGGTTAAAAGGGATAGTGGATGGGGCAATATATAATATAATAATATATATGCACCGAATGCACAGGATGGCAAGTTTTACAGGGTATTATTTAGTCAGTTAGTGGACATGGACTGTGCTAATATAATATTAGCGGGTGACTTTAACAGTGTTTTATGCTCCAAAATGGATAAGCTTCCCCCACAATCTACTTTGACAAAATTCCAAAGCCCTTTGGCAAATTATAAATGAGCTTGACATGTGGATGTCTGGCAACACTATAATCCACTATCTAAAGAGTACACTTTCCACTCTAACCCTCACTCAGCATCTCGTATAGATTTTTATGTCCAAGTGTATCAGTCAGTTAGTTCAGCAGGTAAATATTGGTCATATAGGTCTCTCTGACCATGCTCCGCTGTGCGGCAGGCAGGAGTTGGACCCAAAATGCAGGACTCACAGACTCAGGGGATGAACTCAAAACACAGCTTTATTTGCTGGCAGGGGGAAAACATAAACTAAACTAATCTAAACTGGGAACAACAAACTAAGCACTCACAAAGAGACACAGGGAGACCCACACAGCATGAGGGACGACATGACGCTGACTCAGAGAAACACAGGGCTTAAATACACTGGGGAGTAACGAGGGGAATGAGACACAGAAGGAGGGCACAGCTGGGAGAAATCAGGACTGACGAGGCAAGCAAAGTAGGACGCATTCACATGAGACACGGACCTTCAAAGTAAAACAGGAAGTTTCACACAGAGACGCGAACTTGACACAGTAACTAAGAAACACAGAGACATAAACCATAAGGCAGAGGTCTAAGAACCAAAATACACAGGGAAATACTCAGCTGGGAACACAAGAGACTAGAGAGAGTAACAAAAAACCAACCATGAGAACATAATGCACAATGCAGAGTGACAGAAAACAAGAAACTCAAACATGCAAAGACACACTTACACAGAACAGAGGGGGCACAGAGAAACATGAAGGGCCTGGGATCAAACTAGAAGCCATAGAATAACTCACAAGTACAATAACACAAACATCACAAAGAACTAAAAACGCTGGGTCAGGAGACCCAGGACCGTGACAGCTTCAGGTCTTGGAAGATGAGCACACTGTCTCTTTTGGATGAGAAATTTATACATTTCATAACAGAGCAAACAACAGTATTCTTAGAAATAAATGATAAAGACATGAGAACTTTATGGGATAGCTATAAGGCTTACATGAGAGGGATGATTACTTCATACACAAGTCATAAAAGAAGTCAACGATTAACAAGGCAGTTAGAGACCGAGAATGATTTAAAAAAGCTGGAGAAACAATACTATGTAACTAAATCAGCTGAAACATTAAGTGAGCTCAGCAGGACATCTTTGTGTAATTTGATAATGCGAAGGCCTTCTTGGTGTTGATAATAAGATACTTTCAAAGATACTGGCTCTTAGGCTAGAAAAAGTAATGTGCTCTATCGTGCATGCTGACCAGACAGGCTTTAGTAAGGGGAGGAATTCTTATAACAATACTCGATGCCTATTTAATATTATTCATTTTTTTAATTTTCATCAGATCTCCAGGGTTGTTGTCTCTATGGATGCCGAAAAGGCATTCGATAGAATTGAATGGGAATATATGTTTGAAATAATGAGAAGATTTGGGTTTGGAAAAACTTTCTGGGGTGGATCAAAATTATATACAAATCGCCAACAGCATCTGTGTTAACTAACGGCTTGTTATCTTCCCCATTTTCACTGAGCAGAGGTACAGCACAAGGTAGTCCATTGTCACCACTATTATTTGCTTTGGCCATTAGACAAAATCCAAGTGTTCCTGGAGTTAAAATTAGACAACAAAATATTCTGCTCTATGCAGACGGTATCCTTCTGACACTGACTGACCCTGCTAACTCTCTACCTGTTCTTACTAGGTGTATCAAGGACTTTGGTCTTATATCTGGATACAAGGTAAATTTGATGAATCTGTTACAATAACTCTGTGTAGTGGAGGGGACTTTAAACCTTTATATGTTAAACCTTTACACTGGGCACCATCAGGTTTTGTATAGTTGGGAGTTAAAGTTACACCAAATGTTGGTCACTTACATAGAGAAAATATTAATGAAATGGTTCAAGATCTTCGAGAGATGCTGACAAGATGGAGGTCACTTCCGATATCATTTTTGGGAAGAATGAATCTCATTAAGATGGTAATCCTTTTGGTTTGCAATTTTGAAATCAGAAGATATTAAAGTAATTAACAAGGATATGGTGGATTTCATTTGGGCAGGAAGAAAACCCAAAATTAAATTGGAGACACTACAGTTACCCAAAGAAACCACTGGAAGCACTGGGAGTAACCTGCAAACTGGATTCTAACGGACAACAATTATGGACATAAATTATCACAAGTTTGCTATGGACTCTGGAGAATGTGAAATATTCTAGTGCTGTGCAGTGTTACTGTTTTGGATGTGAACCAGTCTTGTCTTTGTTGGGGAAAAAAGTTAAAAGTAAAAAAAAAAAAGGACAACAAAAACATGTCAGGTGCAAAGACGAGTGACAAGAAACCAGAGGGATAAAGACATGCAGGGGTTGGATTCAAATCTGGTCCGTCCTCTTTCAGCCATATGGTTTAGTATCACCTGCTCTTCTCAGTGAGCTGAACTGCAGCTAAAAGGACAAAATCGTGCATCAAATGAAGAAATCAATCTGATCATATCTTCTTTTTCTTTTTTTCCCAGTCCTGTTTGGGTTTTTTTGCCATCAGATTTGATGTCTGAACGCTAACAAAGATACCAAGCGGATTTACTTTACCACCCACATAGGTTTTGTTTGTGCTGAGGGTTGCTCCCAACTGAGAAACTTTGAAATATTAGACATTTTAAAATCCCACCTAAAACATTTAGATGATGCTGCCCAGAACACTGTGTGCTGTCTTATCAAAAATATCCCTTCCCTGTTTGCTGACACTCCAGGTCACACCAATGTCTTA